ACCGACAGAGGGTGAAAAGGGAAGAACAGTAAGAGGAACAGTAGCCAAAAGAAAAGGATATTCAAGAAAAAGAGGAAACAACGAGCTGGTTTCAGAGTGGGGCAAGGAAGAAAAATTGGCAAGGAAGCAAGAGGGATGGAGGGGGGATGGGAGTGAGGAATGGGAGTGACAAGATGGAGAGGAGGATGGGGGGGAAACAGAAAGTGAAATTCATGGAGCCCAGAGAGAGAGAGAGAGAGAGAGAGAGAGAGAGAGAGAGAGAGAGAGAGAGAGAGAGAGAGAGAGGGAGAGAGAGAGAGAGAGAGAGAGAGAGAGAGAGAGAGAGAGGGAGGGAGGGAGGGAGGGAGGGAGGGAGGGAGGGAGGGAGGGAGGGAGGGAGGGAGGGAGGGAGGGAGGGAGGGAGGGAGGGAGGGAGGGAGGGAGGGAGGGAGGGAGGGAGGGAGTCAACAACTGCTGTGCTGCAGACACCTGTGCTCCCCACACTTACACATACACATGCAATCCCCAGAATAGCTCGCCTCTCAACCACGACCAAGGCGCGTGAGGCGCTACGGGAATCGTGCGCGCGTGCGCACAAGGGGGTTAATGAAGGAGGCACGTACCGAGGCAGCGCACTTTAACGATGATCCCCTGGCACTCCATCACCGGGTCCACGTACAGCCCGGTCGCCGCGCACGTCGCGCACGTCACCGACCCCGCCGCCTCGCACGCGCCGCACTCCTCCTGCCCCGCCACCAGCCGCACCCGCTCCAGCACCACCGTCGCGGCCGCCGCCGCCGCCGCTGGCGCTTCCCGGGCGGCTTCGGCGGCGGCCTCGTCCGCCTTGTGCATGGCTAGAGCGCGGGATTTCTCCATGGCGCTGCGGTAGCGCGAGGGGAGGGCGGCGGCGGCGGCAGACGAGTGCGACTGGAGGGAAATTCGAGGGGTCGGTGGCACGCGGACAGGGAGATGGTGGGGGGGGAGGAGTCGCAAGGGGGGGGGGGAGGGTGGAGGAGAGAGGGGAGGGGGGAGAGTGGGGGGTGGGGGGACGCAGGCACAATTGGCTAGGAAAACCAGGGGCAAGGCGTGCTGGGCGTGAAGCAGCGTGCTGGGCGTGAAGCAGCGTGCTGGGCGTGTAGGCCATAATTGTCGCGCCATGTACGAGACAAAGCAGCACAGCGCAGAGAGGATCCTTACCACGCCATTTGGGACTGCGGCGGCGCTGCGGTCATCGTCCGTCGCGCTGCATCGAACGCACACACGCGCGGGGGCTGCACGCCGAGCGGTTCCCGCGAATCGGCTCTTCGATAGGCTGCTAGGCGAGCCCGAACTGCTGCTGTCCAAAACCCGGAATTGCTTGGAAACGACGTCGGGAGTTAGCGATAGAGCGGAAGCCATGATTACCGTAGAAACGGAAGAATTGTAATCAGAGCGTATCGGGATCGGGCTCTTCCCAGTGCAAGTCTAAGTACCGAAGCACCTGCTTAGCTGCAGTTGTTCTGCGGCGCGCTAAATCACAGGGTCTCGCGGAATAGTAGGGAAGGATTGAGGAGACGGAGAAGGAAAGCAGCGTCTGGTTCTCCAGATAAGCGCGAGGAGAAAGTGTCACTGTGACCGCGGCGCGATCTGTGTGTGGGGCAGGCCAGCCTTGTGCGTTGGGGAGGTTTGTGGCTGAGAAGGGGGGGGGTTGTTGGGGAAAGAGGAGGCTTGGAAAAGGGGGGGTGTCGGTTCGGTTGGGTGAGGGAGTTTTGGCGGTTGGGTTTGGGGGCAGGGGGAGCATGAACAGGTCCGGCAACTCGGACCCCCGATGCATTCACATCGGAATCGACGTGGCCGTCCACGTGGCGAGAGTCGACCCTGGAACGGTCCCACAAGGTGTCTCGTCGCTGTGATTGTGACCACCCTGACCCCGTTATCACTAGCTCTCGGTCTTGCAGATTGTAAATTAGGACAATCCTATGTAAACGGATTTCATAAGAAAATCTTCATCAACAATTAGGTAGGGGGACAATCTCCAACCCAACTAAGGTTCTCATATTTGGGAGGACACAGTAGGGATAACAGTGTTAGATTAATATCCTTGGCACCTCCTCTTTCCCATGATACCACTTCTCCTAACAGTGTTAGATTAATATCCTTGGCACCTCCTCTTTCCCATGATACCACTTCTCCTAGTTAAAACTAATTTCGGGTTGGAGTTATAATGGAAATCGTCTCAGCAAGATTAGGCGATTAGATCTTGGAGCGATTTTTCTATGGCTTGTGCTGCTGCCCGCCTGGCTCCAGACTTGATGCACAGTATAGGAGAGGACCCCACTGCAGCAGCTGCTCTCACACAAGGGACGCGTCCCACCCCTACCGCACGCAGCTTCAATCAATCAGTGCCGAGGTTCTCACCGGTGGTCCTACTGCCCCGGTGTCAGGCCTGCTCCCCCCTGGTGACTCCTGCAGCTCAAATTTTACTCGCTTGAGTGGCGGGGACTCCACCTCCCCCCAGTCCACCACACCCGCCTCAGTGTTCACCTCCAATCTCCTCTTTCCACCCATCGCTCCTCCGCGCTGTCGGAGAGCCGCCATCGCAGGCATGAGTCTACCAGCCAGCTGATTGATCAGCGCCCTTAGCAGCAGCGCCCTGCTCTTCAAACGCTCGTGACTGCCAGTATTCCTACCACCGTTACCGTTACCCCTCGTCATCCTGTCGCCACCTCTCGCACGAGCAGCGTCGCAGCAGCTCCGCCCGCCGCTGCTGCCCGTATCCTCCTCCTCATGCGCGTCTATAGGCCCACCTGCCACTCCAGACTCGCGATCAGACACTGCGGGTGCGGTGACCCCAGGGGCTCTCTGCTCATCCCACATGCGCGTGATTTCTGCTATGCGCACCCGCCAGTGATCCCGCCACGCCGACTCGCACAGCAGCCGCCCCGTGGCGCCGAACTTGTGCGAGCATCGGGAGCAGCGGCAGGCGAATCGGGTCGAGCGGGAAGCCGTTATCTTGGTGAATTTGGTTGCAGAGACGCCCGTGGAGCCAATGTGGGTTTGAGCGAGATGAAGCATTTCGTGCTGCTGCTGCTGCTGCTGCTGCTGCTGTGCCACTCGCCTTTGCCCCTCGCGCCTGTCGTCGAGCTGAAGCGCCTTCAAGTGGAGCTGCTCCCGGGCGTGCTGCTGCTCCACAGCGCGAGGCAGCACCGTCGCACGACGCCCGCAGCGGTGCGAGCAGAAACAGGTCGCCGTGGCAGAAACAGCCGTGGCGGCGAGTGTGGCTGTGGTCTCCTCACTGTGGTACTCGGCGCTGCTCCGCGGCGCTCCCGCTTCACGGACTTCTGCGGTTGCGGCGGCGGTCAGTTGAGCTCGAAGCATGGGGACTGGCCGGAAATATAATGCGAACGGGCTGCGAGCACTGGAGTTGCGGAGCAACTCGGAGTCGCACTCAACCCACGACGACGATGTAGGCGATTCTGAAGCAGCCGAAAGAGAAATGTCTCAATGGGAAGCCCCGATACAATGCCCCAGTCCGAAAAGGAGGGAGATTGAGAAAGGATGAGATCGAGACCGGCGGGGTCGAGAGCCAGGGAACTCACTGTAGAAGCTTGCGAAACTACTATGGGTGCAGGTTGTCAATATGCCCCACACTTTGCAACTTGGAGCTTTCCAGGCCGGCAGCTACCTAGTAGGTAGAACGTCTGGGCTACTAGTACTAGTACTAGGCGACGGAAAGCCGTGCCTCAGCTTCTCAGAAGCGGCGATGCAGGCGTGAGAGCACTGATTCTGCGAGCGATCCAATGCCTTGGGGGATATCACTAAATTTTGGATGGACGACGAGGATGGCTGCAACCACTGGTAGTGCTTTGGATACGATGTAGTATATATTCCCCCGGCCCGTGAGAAGAGGGAAGAGAGAAGAGACGAGTTCTCTCCGATGCGTGCCTCGGAGTCGCCATTTGTGTGTATGATCATCATGATGATGCGCTCGGGCTATCGGCGGATAGCCCATCGCATTAGACAATAGACGGGGAGCGGTGTGACAATGGACTGTCGACGCGAAGCCTATGATCATGCTAGGATTGCAGCCGTAGCCTGTAAGCCGCACGTGCCACTACGCCGCTAACAGGTCCACTTGGGAACTGCCGCGGCGTGTCACAGGAATGCGGGCTGTGTGGTGCCAGATCGTGTGTGGCTTTGATACTTTGTACGGCGACGGGCGGAGCGCATACTTTGTGCACCATGGGCCAAACAGCTTCTCGGACGATGGGATGATGTGAAATGTGAGATTGCACGGGGTGTGAGCCTGTGATGGAAGTGGCGGTGGTGGCGGCAACGGAACGTGTAATCAAGGTGGTGGGGTACGGCTTCCGTGAGTGCTACCGCACCAGCGAGGACAACATTCCAAAATTCATGGGTGCATGTCGGTTGTGGCGTAGAATCAGAAGGGCGGAGAGCGGGATAGAGCAGGGTACGTATGCACGAAGGAGGGCGGTGTGGTGGGGCAGGACGACCCAGGACTCTGTTGGGTGGTTGCCTTGGGGGAGGGAGGGGTCAAATGCTCGGTTTGGTTTGCAGGAGAAACACCTGCTGGTGCCCTCTGCTGTGGAGAGTACATGCGATTCGGCGGGCGCTTCGACCGAATCAGGAAGAGAACAATCCACACGATGTGCAAAGTTGTGATTCATTTGCGTACAATTGTTGCGTCGAAAATTGGCACATTTCGGTTAGTGGATTGTTTTGGTTTGGAATGTGGAATTCCCGGCGGTGCTTCGGAACCTTACGCCTGCCCGAAAATCACCACCAAAATTCGGCGCATGACCGTAGGTTTGGTTTCTCCCAGGTGACCGCGCGAGATGCGCCGCACCACACGACACGACAGGTCCTCTACCTCCGCCAAAACGAATAAAGCAAACCCGCATAAAGTACACAATGCAAGACGTAGCGCTACAATAAAGTTATTTACATAAAAATCTGAATACGTGAAAATTTAACATTAGACAAGAGGCGACGAGATCGTCTTAGGGTTGCGGAGCATTTCATGATGAGACTTTATTATACATAAAATGTTTTATTTCCATCACAAAAGCATTTAATTTTTATTTCACAAACTTGAAAAAAAAAACCAGCCCGATCGATTGCAATAGGTTGCTCCGCAACCCAATAGCATTGTGACATATAGTAGATATAACAGTATATGTGAATTTTTATATTTCAGCGACTAAATGGGCTACGGGGAAAAGTCGATGTGCAGGTTTTGTTGGCACCGGCATTCCCAAATACCTTGGCGGGCGGACCAGTTGCAATATGTGCAAGTTGAGGCGTCTGTGATATCAGCTGTGATTCTATATCCCATAGCATGCACGGGGTATGAAACTCCATCGCTCCCGCACGAGAGTCCATCATAGGACCCCTTTCTCTCCAGTCCACGGCTCCTGAAGAGGCATTTGCCGGCTCTGGCGAAGATGCTGCCACCACTGCTGGTCCTGGTCCTGGTACTGGTGCCGTTGCAGCAGCAGCAACGGCAGCAGCAGAAGCAAGCCCGCTCTGTGGTCTAGATCCCAACTGCCAGAAGTGTAACAAGGGCGGAGCTGGCTCGCTTCGATTCCCACAGGGGGACTCTGGGAGAGATGCCGTGTGGCTAATCACACCCCTCCAGAGCGCTCCTGATGGGTCTGCAGGTGCCTGAATCCCCGTCTGTGAAGCACGCAGAGCGGCAGGCCCGGAGTGAATTTCGCCATGGAGATTTGAAGGGTAGAACGGGGCAGGGTGGATAGAGGGTGAAGGGGGGTGGTGAGGGGGGGGGAGCTCAGAGTGCATCATGTCAGGCAAGGAGCCCATCCCATAGGCTAGCCGTGAGAGGTGCTGGTGCAGCGTCAGCGGTGGCAGGGACTGCCGCCGGCCCAATGCATCTCGTGAATTCCTCTTCTGCTCCTCTGCTCCTGCTGCTCCTGCTCCTGCTGTTCCTGCAGATAGCTGCTGCTGCGGCAGTGGTGGTGGGACCAAGGCAGCACCGTGTGCAAAAGGCTGCCAGTGGCTGCCAAGAAAGGCATCCACAGGCTCCGAAAATACACATGCGGCACCTGTCGCTGTTGCACCTCTCTCTGCAGCCGCCGCTGCCGCTGACATTGAGCCCACCTCTGCTCCTGCTTCTGCATGTGGGACTGAAAGAAAGCTAGGAGAGCCGAATTTGGCAGGGTGTGGGTGGGTCAGCGAGTAGGGTGGGAAGTGACAGCCATTTGTGGCAGCAGCAGCAGCAGCACTTGCGGCGTAGTCGACACAGGTAACTCCAGCAGGCTGACTGGTAGCAGCATCGGTGGCTGCATTATGTTGAACATGCTCCAAGAACCCCAGATGCGTTGAGTAGAGGTGCCTATCCCCACAGCCACTGCTCGGTCCAGAAGTAGCAGTAGCAGTAGCAGTAGCAGTAGCAGGAGCAGGAGCAGCAGCAACAGTGGCTGCAGCTGCTGCAACAACGCTGTGTCCCCCTCCCCCCTGTGCTGCTATCACTACCTCTTCCAACCCACCACCGGAGACATTCCCCCCCCCAGCACCACCAGCAGCTCCAGCAGCACCATCCAGCCACACATCCATGGCCTCATCCATCCAGAAGTCCCCATCCGATGGATCTGTGTACACGCATTCCCCCATGGGGGCTCCAGTAGCGCCACCACCACCACCACCAGTAGCGCCACCACCACCACCACCACCACCAGTAGCGCCACCACCACCATCAGCAGCACCATGGGCAGCAGCACCACCGTGAACACTGCCAGCAGCACTGGCCGCACCCTGGTAACTTCTACCATTGCTCCCGGCAGCGCCATCCGTCTGACCAACCCATCCGCTCTCCCTCTCACCCACCCGCACACTATCCAACCTCTCCGCCACGGCTGTGACTCCTTTCCCCCACACCACCATTCCAACCTCCACCTCATGTACTGGCTGCTGCTGCTGCTCTGGCTGCTGTTGATGTTGATGTTTCTTTTGGTGTTGCTGCTGCTGCTGCTGCTGCTGTGGTTGCTGTTGATGTTGATGTTGCTTTTGGTGTTGCTGTTGCTGCTGTTGCTGTAGCTGGTGCTGCTGCTGGTGCTGCTGATGCAGCTGCTGCTGTTGCTGTTGCTGTTGCTGTTGCTGCTGCTGCTGATGCAGTTGCTGTTGTAGTTGCTGCTGCAGCAGCTGCCGCTGTTTTTGCCGTTGCTGTTGCTGTTGCTGTTGCTGTTGCTGTTGCTGTTTCTGTTGCTTTTGCTGTTGCTGTTGCTGTTGCTGGTGTTGCTGTTGCTGTTGCTGTTGCTGTTGCTGCTGCTGCTGCTGCAGCAGCAGCTGCTGTTGTTGCTGTTGCTGCTGCAGTTGCTGGGCTTCTGCTTTTACCCCAGTCCCTAACCTTTCATACACACACATGGGGATGCCGCCCAATAGCAGCACAGAGTCCGTTTTGGTGCTGCCGCCAGGGAACAATCGAGCCAACGGATTGTCTTGGTTTCTCTGCAGCTGCTGCTGCTGCAGCTGGTGCCGTTGTTGCTGGAGTTGCTGCTGCGGCTGGATCACGGAGCAGGCGGGATCAGGTGGGTGCAGCAGAGCTGCAAGAGGTGAGTGCACTCCCCACACGAACGTTGCTGGCGCCACTGCTTTTTCCATACCATCACCTCCTCCTTCTTTTCCTCCTCCTTCTTCTCCTCCTTCGCCACCCTCCCTTCCCCCACCAGCAGCAGCAGAGGCGGGCGCCTCTAGCCGGGGTGTGGGAGCGGGAAGCGTTGGCAACACATGCTGCTGGCTCACTATGATGCCATGCCCTCCTGCGCCATCTATGGCCATGGCCATGCCGTTTTCCCTCATATGTTGCCTCTCTCTCTTCTTCTCCCTGGCATGCACTCCCAACTGCTCCCCCCCTGGCGCCACCCCCTGCGCTCCCCCTTCCAGATCGTCACCGCCATTCGCCAGCAGCAGCTGCTGCCACTCTCCCCGCATCACCTGGTGCTGGCCCTGGGGGGATGTGCCCTCGTTGCTGCCTGCACTGGGGTGCCACTGGAATTCTCGTAGCTGCTGCTGCTGCTGCTGCTGCTGCTGCTGTTGCTGGTGCTGGTGATTGTGGTGGTGGTGGTGGTGCTGCTGCTGCTGCTGGTGCTGCTGGTGGTGATGGTGATGGTGGTGGTGGTGGTGCTGCTGCTGCTGGTGCTGCTGGTGCTGCTCTAGAGGGAAGTAGGCATAGCCGTTGCATGACATTTGGCTCTGCTGCCGCCCTAGTGCATGCGGCGCACGTGCCCTCATCCCCCCCACCACCCTTCCACAACTCCCTTCCTCCCCTCCCTCTCCCACCACCCATCCCTCCCCGCCCAGTGCCCCACTGTCTTCCATTCCGCCATCCCCAGAACAGGCTGATCCACTATGAAGCACATCACGAGCACCACAGAGCCTCACACCACGAGCAGCACTAGTCAGCACAGGCACTGGGCGGGCCACAGCAGAGCCAGCAGGGAGAGACACCAGAGCGAATGTTGGAGCGGCAGAGGAGGAGGATGAGAAGGCTGGAATAAGAGCGGACAGGATTGCTGCGGGTCCGGATCCAAAACCAGATTCAGTAGAAAGACTGCTCCTCGGGTCAACAGCCATGCTGCCGCCAGGAGTAGTAGCAGCCCCAGTAATACCCTGTTGCGCCCCACAATCCTTCCCTTGGAATGCCAGGGTTGGTTCCCCAGCGGAATGCAAGGCCGGGAATGGGAATGTCGCAAGGGGCGACACACCTACAGCAGGGGGTGCTGTCATCGCTCCTCCTGCTGCTGGTGCTGCTGGTGCTGGTGCTGGTGCTGCTGCTGCTGGTGCTGGTGGTGATGAAATTAATGAAGGTGCTGGTGCTGGTGCTGGTAGTGACGGTGGCGGGTGGGGCGAGGAGGGCAGTATCCTGGGAGCAATAGCCAGGTTGCGAGGTGCCGACGAGCCGAGGGCGGACGAGAAGATGCTGGCTCTGCTCCTCCTCTTCAGCCACGTGTTCCAAAAGTTCTTGATCTCGTTGTCCGTGCGACCTGGCAGCTGCACATGGTCAAAGCACAAGTGAGGGAGAAAGCCTTGAATAAGCAAGGAAACAAGAGCAGCAAGGGCCCTGGCATACTGGAGCACCCCTGGAGGTTCCATGACTGCAAAGTCCCCAAGGGACATGTCATCAGGGACATGTCATCGGGGACATGTCATCAGGGACATGTTCTCGTTAGAAGAACCCATGGAGGGGTCTCTGCCTGGGAGGCTTCGTTGACTTTCCCTCAGAAGGGTAACCGACCAGCGCTGGTGAAACTGGTGGAGAATCTTCGGCGCCTGATGAGATCTGGGGTCGGCGCTGAAGAGCCTCCTGGCAGCCGAGTCCGCCAGGAGTTTCAGGAAGGCTGGGACCTCGGCGCATGGGCAGCCATAGGTCTCCACAGCCAGCAGGAAGAAGCCGATGTATGCCGCCCAGTTGCGGTAGTGGTCTGCTTTCTTCGCCGCCGTGCCCCAGCCATTGCCCTTGCCGGCCAGGGGGATACGGGTGCTTATGGGTTTAATGATGGTGACGTCACAGATCCATACCACTCCTGACACCCGGTCACGGATGGCGAAGTCAGCAGTGCAGCCGTCCACAGGGTTGTAAATATCAGTTTCCTTTGTGACGATGCATTGAGCACCCCAGGCTATATCATGGAGACACCCGTCCCGCAGTGGAAGAGGTCGTTTGGGAGTCAGAGGTCCGGGGTCTCGATGCAGTCCACGCAGTTACAGACCCGCAGGGCGGGGAAGGGGAGCCGAAGGCGAAAGGCGAAAGGAATGGCGAACTCTCTCTCTCTCTCTCTCTCTCTCTCTCTCTCTCTCTCTCTCTCTCTCTCTCTCTCTCTCTCTCTCTCTCTCTCTCTCCCTCTCTCATTCTCTCTTTGTCCCCCCCCCTTCTTCCCAATCCATTCCCCCCCTTCAAATCCCTCACCCCACTGTATGCCCTCCCTCCATCCCTCACCCATCCCACGCCCACCCCCACTCCCCTCCTCCTGCCAGCACCCCGGTGCATGTCCTCCAGTGCAGTGGTGCATTCACCCACGTACGTGCGAGGCGATGCGAGCCCACTTGTTGCCGTACTGCTGCTGTAGCCGCACGACCATGCGCTCCTCTTCCGGGGAAATGCCGCCCTTCTTCAGGTTCGGCCGCAGCTGGTTCGCCCACCGCAGCCGGCAGCTCTTGCCGCACCGAGCCAGCCCCGTGTTCTGCTGCACCAGATTCCAGTTGCCCTCGCCGTACTGCCAAGGGGAGGCGGGAGGGAGGGGGAGGGAGTGCAGAAATTTACAACGCAGCGTAGCAGCAGCAGCAGGGGCTGGCTACAGGGAGGTGATGGGGAGGAAAGATACAATCTTAGTACGAGGAGGGGCTGCTGCTGCGCCGGATTTTAATTGCCCTCACCGGACAGGCAAGGGTGAGGGAATGAGGAGGAGAAAAGGGGGACTGGGTATAGATTGGGGGGGGGGGGGGGGGTTGGGTGGGGGGATAGGGGGATGATTGGAGAGGGTAGGGGAAGGGGGTAATAGGGGGAGGGGGAGAAAGTAGGGATTCTCTGAGGGGAAGGACGATGGCGTCAACTTCAAAGGAGGGGTGGAAAAGGATGGCGTCGGAAGGAAGACATTTCAGAGACTAGTACTTCTGCGGGCTGGGGCATGTGGATGTAGCAGCCAATTCCGAATAGGCATTGGGGAGACTCAATCACTGGCTGCGAGATCCCTGGCTTCTGACAGCCTCTCAGGACCTGACAGCTCTCCTGAAAGCCGCTTTCCTGAAATCTTTCCTGACAGAATTCCTGACAGAATTCCTGACAGCTTTCCGGACAGCATTCCTGACAGCCTTTCTGGATCCACCATCCAGCGAGTCACACGGACGGCACCGACCAAAAATCTGACTCATTGGTAATTTGAAGGACCATTCTGATCCTCATGGGCCAGCATGATGCTGGCAGGGCGCGCACCTGTCGCACGTGCTGCCACAGCAGCTCGTCCTCCTCGGCCGTCCATGGCCCCTTGCGCAAGCCGTCACTGCCTACTGACACCGCCGCCGACATGCTTCCCGGCGCGTCCCTCCCTTCCCGCGGGGCCGCCCGTTTACTAGAGGTAGTATTAGTAGTAAGAGTAGTACCGGCGGTACTAGTGGGGGCCCCGTTCAAATCTGATTCGGGGTCATCAGCCATAGGTTTTTCAAGGGCCACGCCCAACTCCCACCGCAACCCGGCGCTGATGGTGCTACTAGTAGCAGTGCTTGTTCTGCTGGTGCGGCGGCCACGGCCCGTTCCCACCTTACGCATCCCTACCTCAGGGGATGTGCTGCTCACACTAATGTCATCCAGTGGATGAGCAGCTGACAGTGCCAGCGGCGATTTAGGGGGTACAGTAAGGAGGTCCCACAACGCCACGTCTGGTGCTTTGTTCCCCCGCCATTATGACGCTGGTGCTGCTGTGGTGCTCCCAGATCCTTCCACGATTTTGTACCTCAACTCTCCCCAGGCCCATTCCCGTGGCGTTACACCTGACGTCCAGTAACCTGTTTTTTCATTAGATGCTTTGTCCATCTAAAAGCTCATTAATCCGAACACACGGGAAACGGTCCAATCTACACAGTCCCAACGATCTGCAGCACTTATAGAGACCTCCTAACGTGCAGACGGGACGTTCTCAGACCTTACACTGTTGCCCCAAAAACGTAAAACAAACAAAAATGGTCACCCGCTTTAGACTGAAAAATGCCAGCGAGGTAACCAGACTACCCTAGATTGGCCCGATTGACCTTACAACGACGTGAAAGTTACATGCTCAACTCTGAAGCATCCTCCCGAAAAACAACAAAACTAAGCCTGAAAATAAATTGATGTGTAGTACTTGGGCCAAGTTTGGTGTGCGAAGTAACAATTTGGCTGATGTGACTGTAGCAAAAAATCGCCATGTTCGTGAATATGGGCAGCAATCCAGGGTAAATCATCTGATCACCGCCGAATGAACATACAGCTTTGTGGGCGTACCCTATAGCTTGACATTACTATCCGACCGCAACTTTGGGTGGAGTTCATATTCCTGAAGTCCGACATTGGAACACACTCTTTACGAATTGCACGCTGGATGTATTTGGACAAAAATGTTGTTTAGGAGGAGACCCAATTGAGAGTGACTCGAGCAGAGGATTTTGTGGACACCAGGTGTACTATATATAGGAGGAAGCCTGAAATACTGTACATGCTGAAGAAACCGCCCTCTGAAAGGGTAAACAGTTCTCCGGTCTGGACTACAAAACAAAAATGCTGAGCCGGGGCCAAAGCACAACATTGAAACACGGGGATGTTTTAAACGATAACTACCCTAATTCGAAAAATTAGCTGGCGGCTTTTCGGCTGAGCCCGGATTGTGACGGGATATGGTCAACAGGAAACCGGAATTGGAAGAGCCCCTTGGAATTTTCCAGATGGGAACATTCGCACCGCCTCTTCCATTCCTTTTTGCTCAGGAGTAGACATGTTTCATCCTCCTGCAAACTGCCACCGAGCCGGCCCAGCACAAAGCCTCGCATTTTTTCGCTTTCAGAAATTTGTGAGGCATGACAAAGCACAGAGAGCTCTGGCAAGATACTGTATATGGATCTTCCGGGTGCCCCAAACTCTTTGTTCGAAACACCATTATGCATGGACAAACGGCTGCTGCATAAGCATTCAGGCCATGCGTTGTGGATATCATTGGGCCCAACCCAAACCAGCCTCCATTCGATCCGATTCTGATGGAGTTTCTGGAAACCATGTCGGCGTGGCAGCACTCGTGGTCCTTACTGAACAAGCTGCCATAATACTGCGCGTCCACGGGATGGTAGCAAAGGGTTCACCGGATGTCCACCGTACGTGTGAACATCTGAACTAAGAACGAGTCAGAAGATCGAGCGCCTCCGCAACAAAAAATTGAGACAAAAAGTGGGTTCCCATCGGTAACATGCGAGCAGGAGGTAATTAATCGATACGTGGATTTGAGTGTCTCTGCCTGCATGTTTCTTTCCCAGGTCAATAATAGCGCTGGAAAAAGTGCATCACGGGGATTCAAACGGAAAGGCTTTTCCCGTAATGTCAAGCACGTGGACAATACTTCTGTGTTCGTCTAAGTGCAGTGGTAAGAATACGCTGGACGACCAGTGTTTTGTGCAATGCTGCAGGGCAGGATGCAGCGGTTTGACCATCGAAAGAACTCTTCAAGACAGGATGCATCCAACAAATGCAGTCTCATCGGTCTGGCTCTGAGGGCGCTTTCCATTTCGGACAGCGGCAAGTTCCAGACAGGTGTAGGTATGGTTACCATAGATGTAATTATTTAACACCCCCTAATGTGAACTCCCGCCAAATCGAGCTCTGTTCTGAAAAAGACGAATACCTCATTCGACTCTCTGCGCAAAAATTACCTAACTGCCGACAATCCCGCTTCACGAAGCTGCGAAGTTTTGTGTTTTCGTCAAGGTCGTCAGGTCGCAAGTTCGTGTCGTCACACATCTAGCGACGGTCATGCTCGGACGAGCGGGGTTTCGTTCGAAATTGCAGGAAAAATACATTCTCTTTCCGAAATGGAACGCGCCCTGAGCTCAAGCAGTTGAGCAACCGTTTTTCCTCTTTTCCCCGAGTCATCCATGTTCAACATGTTCTCCAGGACTGACGTGGTACCTCCCCCTTTCGAACTGTAGCGCAAATCGGAGTGCGCAAGTTTCCTGAACTACATGAAGGATTTTTATTCACAGAGTGAATCATTTTTAGGGACTGTTGCAGGTACGTTGGCACTCAACCATGAACATCTTGTTTATCCCAACGGCAACTGATCCTAAATTGTGGAGGTGCCCCACAGTACCTCCCTAGGTTGGAGTCGTCGCTGCGAAGACCGAAAAAAAACTTGTCCGAGGACCAGCGAGTTGCACCTTTCGCAGACTAGGCTGGGACAAAATCCTAGTAACGATCCCCGACAAGCTCGGTCTTGTGAGGTCCTGGGGGCTGCGCCAAGACATTGCAGCAGGATCCCTGGCTACTTCCCCCAAAAACGCCAACACCACACACATTCACCTAACCACGCCCAGGGAAAAATATCAAGGCAAGTGCGGCGAAACAAACACCGAAAATGACAGCTGCGGGTTTGTGCTTTCAGAAAGCAGATTCTAGCACCCCTCTACAGTTCTCGCTCAATACGAACTGTCTTGATTCGGTCCAAAATCGATGGAGTGTTCACACTCCAGGCTACATCTCCACAAAGTGGATGTCCAAAATCTGACCAGCTCGGATTGGCATCCCCCATACTCAAGGTGGGGGGACCCTGAGCTATCAGGGTGCCTCTACACGAATCAGAGGCCCTGGGGGGGGGGGGGGGGGGGGGTTAACTGAACAAAAAGCATAAGCCCATGGGCATGTAAAATGGATTATATGGAAATCAATTTTTTTACATCAACGCGTAGCTTCTGGTTTGTCATGTGCAATGGGAGTTTTTTTTGGCGAGGATTCAAAGTCTATCGCGCAGGAAGTCCAGTCAACGAGGTGCCAGGCTGGAAATTTGCCCTTTATATGCAAATCGTGCTGGCGCGAGTCTCAGAGTTAGAAGTGTTGACTAGAATGAGAGTATACAGGATTATACCGTATAGCTAGTGGATTGCACTCTATATGGCAAAACCCTATACACAACTATGTTTAACACACCCCCTAGAATAGATAGGGGCAGAGCTTGGCGAGAGAAAAACAGCTCAGGGCGGCACTACTAGTCCAACCTCCGAGGCAGGGGTCTAAAGACGAGTCGATAGAGTACAAACAAGGCATTATCAAGACCAGTGTGGCACTACTACTCCAGCCACTAGGAGAAAGCCACAAGGCCAGTCAGGAAAATATTTAAAGAGTTATACACAATCAAGGTCCTAGCAAATAAAGTGCTCCATGAATGAGTCCAAGTTGTACGCAGTGCCGCTGATGATCTTTAGGCGCAAGCGCCTTCGTAAAGATATCAGCTGTGTTGGCACGGGAGGCCAACTGTACTACGCGGGCCTGGCGACGCTGCTGTAGATCGTGCAGGAGGAAGTACCGCAGCTGGATCTGCTTCGCTCTGCCCTCGAGTCTGGGCGTCTGACACAGGAGGATCATGGCCCTGTTGTCAGCGTACAGGACCGGGGTAGAGCTAGGCCGCTCACCTAAGTCTGTGAGCTAGAAAATCAGCCATCAGAGCTCCTGTGCCACTATGACACCGGCGTAGCTCTTTGCCTCACAGCTAGACTAGGCAACAGGCGACGAGCAGGTTGACCTCCACGAGACAGCACATGCACCAAGGCTAAAGCATTAGCCCTGGGAGGACCTGAGATTTTCGGCGTCGTCCGCCCAAGAGGCGTCTGTGTGCCCGGTCAGGACCACTGGTCTACATGCTCCTCCCACTAGCCCCATGCCCGATGTACTTACTAGATAACGCAAAACCCTCTTAGTTGCAGACTAGTGCTGTGGTCGATGTCTGCCGGAGGCCACAAAGCGGGTCAGGATGCTAAGAGGGTGTGCGAGATCTGGACGAGTGCAAGTCATCAGGTATATGAGGCAACGCACCACCTCTACGCAAGGACCACTAGGCTCTACAACTTCCTCCGGAACTGGAGCAGCGAGTTTGTGGTCTACTGACAGAGGGGTGGGCTATGCAGAAGAGAACTGAAGGTCGAACCTCTGAAAGTCTTGGCGCACCAAGTGTGACTGTGTGAGAGTAATGGTGCGTGCTGCTCTGTCCCTGGAGATCTGCAAGCCAAGGTACCAGCGCAGTTCTCCTACGTAAGTGCATGTGTGTCTTCTCTGCAGCTCGGCCTTCACGGAGGCCAGCGCGTCTCTGTCTGCAGTAGCAAAGACCAGATCATCTAGGTAAACAAGGATGTAGAACGGAGTCTTGCCGGAACGGACAAAGAGCGAGAGGTCCGCAGACGACTGCAGGAATTGCAGGTCAGCAAGTGTAGCACGAAGCATATCGTGCTATTCATGGGGCGCCTGGCGCAGGCCGTAGACAGGGCGCCGGAGAAGCCACTCGGTACCAGGGGGAAAGGTACCGGAGAAGCCCTGGGGGCGGCACATGTAGACGTGTTCGAGTAGACTGCCCTGGAGGAAAGCCGTGGAGAAGCCGAGTGAGTGCAAGTCGTAGTCACGCTGTGCTGCTACGTACAGCAGTGCCTGAAGAGTAGTCATCTTCGGGGTCAGGGCGAAGGTCTAAAAGAAGTCAACCCCCTCACGCTGACTAAAGCCACGAGCAACGTAGCATGCCTTGAAGACAAGCGGCTCTCCAGGAGGGCGTTTCACTTTGAAGAGCCATCGGCCATCGACTAGGTTAACCCAAGTGGGGGAACTGCGTGGACGAAGGTACCGGTGGATCTCCAAGATGCCATCTTTTGCTCCATGGCAGCTATCCACTGAGAGGCCAAGGGTCCTGA